ATTACCTATGTTCATGTTGTACTTTTTGGTTTATTAACTATTTTGGCCTCATTTTGATCTTTAAGGATTTAAGGCCACAGCTAAAGCCATTCATCTTAAGAGATAAGGAAAAAGACTAAACATATCACACTGTTAAATAGACTACAATTAGCCATGATTTGTTTTGGTATAGGTTTTTTTTTTTTTTCTTTTGTGATGCTTTAAACCCTTAAGTTTCATTTTCAGGGTTTCACTCTACCTGCTACCTCTCAGGTTAAAACACAAACAAACCAAAACGTTTCATATCCACTCTACTTTCATTATTACAAGTCTCAGTCTTTCTCTACTTCCCTCCTGTTCTTCTTATGCAATAAATATACATGATGTACTCTAACTCCAATGTCCGTAAGTTGCTGACTTCACTCATTCATTCAAACAAATATAAAGTGTCTTCAGGATAAAAGACCCTTAGGGAAACAAAATGAATCAGCAAACAAAACAAAAATGTTCTACTGAAATTTACGTACCAGAAGGTACATTATTATTATCTATGTATTTATTTATATATTATAGGCAATATGTAAGAAACAATAATTAGAGAATGTATACTAGGATTGATGATGGGCTAATAGGAGAGATGTTAAAGGGGGCCATCAGGAAGGCCTCACTGAAAAGATGAGGCATGAACCAAGACTGAAGGCAATTGAGAGAGCCAAGAGGAAACACAGAAAAACACTCCAGGCAAAGGGACAGAGCAAAGGCCCTGGTGTGACAGCATGTCAGGTGTATTCAAGGAACAGCACTGAAGGATGCCAGTGTGGCTAGAGTGAGCTGGCAAGTTGAGTGAGGAAGGCAGGCAGATCACACAGGGCCTTGAAGTCCTTTGTAACAACTCCATCCATGGTAAAAGTCCATTGTAAAACTTTTACTGGATATGAAATAAGGAGTCACTGCAGTTTTTGAGCAGAGGAGCCACACATTAAAGTTCATAAAAGGCTCTCACCATGGTTGCCATGTTTGTTTGAGAATAGATTGTAGTGGGCAAGGGTAGAAACAGAGCTATCAGTTCGGTATCTTAGCTGAGACAAGCAGCAGGAGAGGTTTTGAGAAGTGTTTGGATTCTGGATATATTTTGAAGGTTGAGAGCCATTTTTTTCTAGCAGACTGAATACAGGATGTTGGAAAAATTGGATTGTCAAAGAAGATAGCTGAGCTACAAAGGATGAAATTGCTAGCAATTATTTTGAGGCAAACCGTAAGTGACACTTTGGTACAGATGTTACAGGCATTCTATCCTGATTTACTTAGTCTCATCAAATTTTAAATTCTCTTTAAGTCCACCCCTCTTTCTCTCCTCCCACAGCAATAATCTAATCAGGAAAGGCCAGTTTATTAAAGATACATGATGTTTCTTCTCAGAGAAACTGTGGCTATGACTATAAAGACAAGATACCCTCTCCCAGAAAGCAACCCCAGGACTAGTAAATGTGCGATGGCTTTCTAGTCAAGCAACAATGGAAAGTACCCATGTGTCCATTACTGGGTGTATGACTGTAGGCAACTCGTTTTTCCTCTCTCTGCCTCATTTTTTGTGTTAAAGTAAGGATAATATTATCCATAGGGTTATTGTGAATACTAAATGACTAAAAAGATATCAAGCAGTTAGAGCAGCATTTGGCACAGAATAAACAATATATAATGGCTGCAAATATTACTATCATTGTCATTAAGTCCTTTTGTTAATTCTCAATATCAGAAGATTTTTACGAGAAATAACAGCTAGGGAGGTGATGAGCCTAATACACATTTCCAAAAACATGAATAATCTAATACTAAGGTACACCTGAGTTCAAAGACAGGGCAAGTTGCTGGTAGGTGTCATGGAAGCCTAACTGCCTTAACTCAGCCCTGAAATATTACAGGACAAATATTAGCCATTGTATGTTTGGGGCAGGGAAAACATGGATTCAAACTTCATATCTCTGTGATTTTAAGAAACTGACCCATCACAGAAGCCCCATGAACTCCTCTCAACCTTTCAATTCTAGTTGTCTAAGATGTCTCTAAGGATAAAGATGGTACTTGAGCACTTTGGCTTTTGTGATATACTCAAGAATGCTTCAGCTATAGTTTTTAAATGTTTACTAATCATCTATCAATATAATTCAGAAGTTACAATCTATACCTATTTCTATATGCTATTTAACTTAAATAAGTCTGTTCTCTTCTCCCAGCTTCTGACACTGAATCAATTTCTATGGAAAATGTCCCTGAACAGACTTATCCAGCCAGGGATTCTGCATCTCTGAATTACCTGGAGAACTTTAAACATATTAATGCCAAGGCCCAGTCCTAGATTTCTGGTGTAACTGAAACCAATGCTGAGAACCACAGATAGGTAAACCCTAGAAGTATTACCTATTGAATTAGGAGAGAGAGAAAGAATATTGTTTAAATAGTGAATCAGCCAGTCTTACACAACGCTGACAGGCTTATAGTTTCTCCATGTTATGCACTAATATTGGGAAGAGGCTTTATTTTTACATCATGAATTAGGAAAATACAGACAAAAGGAAGATTAATGTTTCTTAGAGCCATGCTGCATACTATTATTGACTATAGAGAGGAAACGGGGTGGGGCTGGGGAGGTGAAGAGTAATTATAACCAGGTATTTGGCAGTAAGTCTTAGAAGGATTTTGCCAGAGAAAAAAAGACTAGTATTGTGTGTTACTTCATTTGAAAGAAATCTCAGTTTTGGTCATCAAGTCAGCTTTCAGAAAACATTTGGAAGACCACCAACTCTTGCTTTGTTAGGTCAGGATAGTGTAAGAGACTCTAGGGCAGGTTAAAAAGATTTCTAACCTAAGTTCATAGTGTCTCTTTACCCCAGAACTCAATTCATAAGATGGTGCTAGTTTAAACCCAGAAATGTTAATTCACTATTTAAACAATATTCTCTGGGGTAATGGCTTTCTATAATAAACTCATTCATTCATTTATTCCTTTAAAAAAAAACACTTATTAAATATTTACTGTATGCTAGACATAACCTCCAGATGCTTTGGACCATACCAGTGATCAAGACAGACCAGAACGTGGGACGCCTGGGTGGCTCAGGCGGTTAAGCTACTGCCTTCGGCTCAGGCCACGATCCCAGGGTCCTGGGATTGAGTCCCGCAGGGAGCCTGCTTCTCTCTCAGACTCTGCCTGCCACTGTGCCCGCTTGTGTGTGCGCCCACTCGCGCACGTTCTCACTCCCTCTCTCTCGCGCTCTCTCTCTCTGACAAATAAATAAAGGGGCGCCTGGGTGGCTCAGTGGGTTAAGCCGCTGCCTTCGGCTCAGGTCATGATCTCAGGGTCCTGGGATCAAGCCCCGCGTCGGGCTCTCTGCTCAGCAGGGAGCCTGCTTCCTCCTCTCTCTCTGCCTGCTTGTGATCTCTGTCTGTCAAATAAATAAATAAAATCTTTAAAAAAATAAATAAATAAAAATAAATAAATAAATAAAATCTTTTAAAAAAAAGAGATCTCTCTCTCTGACAAATAAATAAACAAATAAAATCTTAAAAAAAAAAAAAAGACAGACCAGACCTTAATATCCTTCCAGATGCCTTTAAATGCATGAATTTAAAGTGTAACTGTAGTTCAAAGACATCTAAAGAGAGTAAGATATTTTCTAAACTTGAAATATAATGTAGAACCCTAATTTACTAAGTGCCTACTGTAAACCAGATGTTCTATTAGTCCCTTTAATATTTGGTACTCATTTAATAAACTTGCAGTCCTGCAGAGATGACATTACTATTTAGAATAAATTAAGAGACCAAACAATGAGAAAATTCTTTCCCTTAGCAGAGTTTAAATTTCCACACTAGAGGGAATTCTCCATCCTAAAGCTGTCAAGAATGGGACTTATCACAAAGTTGTGTCAATTCATTCACACACAAGAAATTTTTTCATCTTAGTTCAACTATATCAACTGGGAGAAGACTTGGGGTTTAAAAAAAGAAAAACCACGTTATCACAAGAATACATTTCCAATTTCACATTTTCTTAAGTTGAAATTATGCAAACTGTGTTTCAAGCATGATGCAGAAACTACCTATCCATATTAAGCCACATAACTTAAGGACAAATTAGTACTAATGGATCTACTGTGGGACATAAATAAACACACGTTACTAGGTGCAGTGATCAGTCCTTTAACTTTATAAACACCAGACCAAACATCACTCAGTTCAGTCAGAAATCCACAGGACTGTAATTCTGCCCCAAGCAAAAACTGAGTGACAACCCAAATACGTCTCCAAACCATTTTGGTAATAATTGAGTTTGTAGTTTCGTTTTGTTTTTTTCAGTTTTCAGGTGAAGCTATTTGACTCCAATCCCGCACACACACAAAAATCCTTAAGTTTTTAACGGAAATAAGGAACTGCCAATTGGGATCAATTTGTAAGTTTCCGTGGGGAAGCTGATACACAACAACCCTGTTCTCCCAACTCCAGGCAGAGACTAATTCCAAAATGGGATTCACTCCTCCTTTACGCCAGGGATCATCCATTCTCTTCGCCTTCTAAAGGACAAACTAGCTCACCATTCCCGGGAATAACTTGGCTTGTGGCTACGTTCACACAGTGCCTGGGACGCAGGCTCTCAGGGCCGGGGCACCTCAGCACTGGCCACTCGAGTCTGGACAAGGGCCAGCTCTTGTCGCCTCTCGACCCTCACCCCTCCGCCCCCGCGGTACTCCCGAGCCTCCCGCTGGCAAAGTTACCCCGCCGCTCGCTCGGGGTTACAAGCCGGGACGCCGCTGGGGGTCTCCGGGACCCCGGAGCTCCCGGGGTTACGGGGACCAAGACCCGGTCCTGCCCTGATTACAGAAGCAGGGTGAGAAAGCCACAGCAGCCTCGGCCACACAAACGCGGGGTGCAGACAGAGCACGGCGGATGCGGGAGGGTTGTGGGGACGTCAGGAGGAGGCTCGCGAGGCCGCCGCCCCGCGACCCGGACTCGCCCGCGCTCACCGTCGATGTTCTCCCGGTCGCTGATGTGCTGCAGGTTGCAGCCCGTGTCCTCGCGGCTCAGGTCCGTGTCGGGCCGGTAGGACTCCAGCCGGGAGTGGGTATTCCTCCGGAGCTTGGGGCTGGACGACACGCAGCACGAGGTAGTGTTCCCCATCTTCGGTGGCCCCCAGACTCCTGCTGCTCTCGCCTTCCTCCCGGTCCCCGGGAGCGCGGCGCGGGCGGGCGCGGGGCGCGGGCGGCGGGGGCGTGGAGGGGATACCCGCCCGCCCGCCGCCGCGGGAGGGGGCGGAAGCCGCGGCCGGCCCCCGGGTCAGCAGCGGCGGCGGCGGCGGGGCCTCGCCATGGGCGGCGGCGGCGGCGGCGGCGGCGACGAGCGGGCGGCGGCCCCGGCTCCCCCGGTTCCCCTTCGGCCTCCGCACTCGCCCGCCCTGATCCGGCGGGCCTGTCCGCGGCGGAGGAGCGCTCGGGTCCGCGCGACTGCGGCCACCGAGCCTAGCTCACCCCGCCGCGGCCATGGCGGGCGGCGCCGCGCAGGCCGCCTTCCCGCCCCCCCGCAGCGCTTCCCGGTCGGCGCCCGGGTCCCCGGCGGCGGCGGCGGCCTCCGCAAGAGGTTCCGGTTCAAGCGGGGGAGCCGCGTGTCCGTGCGGGGCGGAACGACGGGCGGGCGTGGGCACGGCTCTCCGCCCGGCGCGGCAAAGCCCGGTGCTGCCGGCGAGGATGCTCGGGCGCCCTCCCCCGCCGTCGGCGCCCGCCCCCGCCGCAGCCCCCGCCCCGCCCCGTCGCCGCCTCTTCCCTCTGCCCTGGAAGCAGATCGGCGGCCGAGGTGGGAGGTCCCGTGCCAGCGCGGCCCGGCGCAGAGTATGGGGTCGGGGCCGGGGGTTGCGCTTCACGCAGGCAGGCGTGGGAGCCACAGACCGCGCGGTTGGAAGCTCAGCGTCTCGATGCCCTTCCTCTCCCGCTCTCCGCGTCCTCCACCTCTCCCCGGCCTAACGCTGGGACGAGAGGTGTGTGCGGCCGGCCTGCGCCGCTCGGGGGCCGGCGGGGTCCCCCGGGGCGTGGAGAAGGGCCGGAGCGGCGGGGGCGCAGCCGAGAAGCCTGAGGGAGGGCTGGGAGCACACGGAGGGTGGGGATGCGGCCGCCTCCCTGGTTTGCGCGGGGGCTGTGTTTCTCTCACTCTGGGGTGGGGGGAGGCGGGGGGTGGAGAAGGGGTTCTTTTATTTTGAAAGTATTTAAAAGGAGACTGGACCTTGATTTGGCACTTCTCCCTTCTATTTTGAGTTTTGCCAGGACTTGATAGTGACCTTGTTTTAAGCCGTGAGATAAAGCTGGGGGACCCCTGAGCTACATTAATGTCGAATTAGCTGCAGTGTTTTGAGTTTCTAGGAAATTAATGTAAAGTAGAGCTAGATAACTTACATCAGCTATCCTTTGCTTTTCAGTGCTGTGCGGTTTTGTCTTGCTGAGACCAGCCTGACCCGAAGCATGGTAGCTAAAATAAAGGTATGTGAAAGTGCCTGGCTTACGTGAGATATTCAGTAAATCGTGGGGCTCCATTCCCTCCCAGCATCCCAGAATGACCTTCTTGCCTGAAGTGGCAGAAATAACCTTTCCACTCTTTTTCCAAACAGTCAATGAAGGAGTCATGAGAAGATTCAGGGGGAAAAATGACTTTGAACACAAAAGATACGGTGCAACGCTCTTAATTTTGTATCTGAGGAAACCGAAGTCGAGAAAGTTGAAGTGCCTTGGTTGGCCCAAGGTCCCAGTACAAGTTAGTGACAGATGGAAATACAAAAAAGGAAGAAAAGGAGTAAGGAAACTTAATACTTACATAGCATTAGCAACGTGTGGACAACTTGCCTGAGGGGTTATAAATACTTAAATTTCATTTAATTCTCGATATCTAGGCTTTTTTTTTTTTTTACAACCTGTGCTGTCTCTGTCTTGCACTCATGTTTATACATTTATTAGTCAATAATCAAAAAAACTTTATGCTCTGAGCTAGATTAATGCCATTTGTTGCAATAAGTGGCAGATGTCCTTGGAAAATAAATGGCAGCAAAGTGCTAATGTTGACAAGATGAGAAAGGACATGTAAAAGGACATTTCAAAGAATTGCAGCCCTGAAAGGGTAGGTAAATATCAACGAGACAAAATAATACTCTATGTTAAGGCAGTTTTGACCTTATTGCTTCCCAGGAAAGTTTGAATGGGACATAACTGCAAGTCAATGAATGCGTATATTCACATTTTCAGTGCTACAGTGTATGGTTAAGGTGGATAAAAATCGGCACAGGGGTTATCATATTGTCTGTTCTGATTGCTGTTTTATAATTGGGCCACTATAAGCATCCAAATACTGAATCATAGGTGTATGGCATATCCACTTAGGCATATTAAATAATTTTCATTTGATTGTAGAGTTTACAATATTGTATCAGTGATGGGCTTTGAAGGGTTTAAGAGGAGAGGCAGAAGAATAGCTGTCTGCAAGCTTCCTGTGCTGGCGGGTCGTCGGGCAGTGTTAACTAAAAAGAATCTGGAGGTGAGGAAAGACAGGACTGGGGGTCAGGGTAGACACAGACTTTTGCCAAAAGATCAACAGCCGTCGTTCTGCAGGGGCTTTTCTGTCCCCCACCTTCCCCAGTCCCCCTTTGACACTCATGCCATGTTGCCTTTAGGAATGCATCTGTTGGACTTACACGGAAGTGGGACTTTTGGTCACCAGGCCCAGGACTAGTGCTAAAGCCTCATCAGTGACTTTCCTGAGTGCCACACACACGCTTCAAACTCCTCCGAGCAAAGACACCGCCTCTTTGAAACACAGTGACACTTTAGGAGAGCTTGCATAAGCAGTGATGCCAAGATGAAAATGAAATGTGTTATTTATTAAATACCTGCTAGAAGCCATGCTATGTACTAAGTATGTTTTTACATCTAAGCCTATGCTGTTTCCCACATTTTACGCATAAAGACACTTTAATACTGATAATCAGACTACTGAAAAAAGGCCTAAGTGGAGTTATTAACCTTGGTCCTGATTGCTAAGTCCATAAGATCCCCCACTCAGCTGTATCACCCAAACACCACCTGCCCCCACCTTCAGGTATCACTGAACAGGAAGGGAACAAAGGCAGATTAGAATAATGAGAGAAGAAATCTGCAAAAGTTTTGAGTGCAAAAGAGATTCTTGTGTTGCTTCTCTCCTTTATTCTCTTTTTGAAGGAAGCTTGCATTGACTGTTTAGGACTAGTTTTAGACTTTGAAGAAGAGAGGGAATCTTATTTCTGTGGGCCCCACCCTTCTGACAAGAGTAAGTAGATAGGCAAGGAGGTTGAAGAGAAGCATATGCAGAAATGCGCATTTAGCCAGTGTCTTTGACATTGCATCACTTGGGAATCTAAATGCAAGGACACTTCGTCAATAGAGTAAATCTAGCCCAGGATTAGGACCAGAGGGAGAGAGGAAAGGTGAGCACTGCAACCCAAGGCCCTCATCCTCGAGAGAACATCAACCTGGATATACTCATAACCCACCCTGCTCTTTAAGTAGAAAGAATCATTTGGGTATTTTTTCCCTTCACCTTTCTCTGTAATTACTATTTAAGATTTTGGTCGTTGTGGGACACCTGGGTGGCTCAGTTGGTTACACGTCTGCCTTTGGCTCAGGTCATGATCCCAAGGTCCTGGCATTGGGCTCCTTGCTCAGCACAGAACCTGCTTCTCCCTCTGCCTGCCGCTCCCCCTGTTTGTGTGCTGTCTGTCTGTCTATCTCTGGCATGTAAATAAATAATCTTAAAAAAGTTTTGGTCATTGTGAAGAGATGAGTATGGAAACTCAGGTGAACAACCTAAGTCATTGCTCTTCAAATTTTCTTTTTAGCAGTAGGAGCTTTTTTTTTTTTTAAACAAAATTTTCAGTGGAACCGCAAACATGATTGATATTAGTATTAACCTATAAAATTATAAAAAGCAGGCTATTAAGAAAAAGCTACCTTAATTGAATCAGGTAGATCATAATTATGGTCTTACTTCAGTCACACTTATATCCATGAAATATGAATCACCCCCTAGAATACAGAAAACACTGAGCCAGGTTAACCCAGAGCCTGGACTTTTGGTCAAAAGAAGAAAAATGGATAGAGTCTTAGGAAAAAAAAAAAACCTTCCCAGAGTATATCTGCCCTTATCACCTGGTAACTAGTTTCCTGTGTTAGTTACTCAACATTTGTAAGGCAGTAAAGGAAAAACCAAGACCCTTTGTTGTACCACCAGTGTTCTTCCTGTCACCCTCTTATTTTCCAGGGACCTCCCCTCCAGATAAGGCCTCCATCTAGTACTTGAAGCTAGGCAGTGTAAAATATGAACAGCTACTGGGGAAGTCTTTCCTTTGATAGCCACTTGACCTTGACCAATGTAAGTGATTTATTTATTGAAAAAACATTTCTTAAAAGTATACTGAGCCAGGCACCTTAGGGATACAAAAATGGATAAGATTTAGTTCTTACCCTTGAGAAACTCATCATCTGGTAAAGTAAACAGTTAAAGATCAGGTGTAGAATATGTCCAGCAATATGAATAATTGTAGTCAATTAGTGGTAAAGTCTGAAGACTACCAAGACTGCTACCTATATTAAAAAGCTTTCTTGCCTGTAGTTAGATCTAAAATTCCACTATGGGAGACTTACTCCTGTGAAGTAAAGAATTTTTTTTTTTTAAGATATTTATTTGTTTGACGGAGATCACAAGTAGGGGGAGTGGGGGAGTGGGGAGCAGCCTCCCGGCTAAGCAGAGAGCCTGATGCAAGACTCAATCCCGGGACCCTGGAATCATGACCTGAGCTGAAGGCAGAGGCTTTAACCCACTGACCCACCCAGGCGCCCCTGAAGTAAAGAATTATCCCAGAGGTTGTCAGAATGAAAATTCCCACCATCAGTTAAAGATGGCTAGTAGATTTAAACACTGATGCTAAGTCCCTTGGAATAGAGTAACTGCCAGGAACAATGTGTTAAGTAGGATTCTTAAGGTCATACTCCAGCCCAACAGGAAAGAATGCTGCCATAAGGAAAGGAGGATGAGGAGAAGATAGCACTGGTGCCATGAGTAAAACTTTTGTTCTTGAAACAAATACTGAAGCTAGGGACAGCCATGGTCTCTGAGTTTCTGGGCAGAGGCCCACTTGGAAGCTGATTTATCTATCATGCAACTGAGAATCCACCTCCTGTCCCCAGACTAACCAGCCTTAAGAAGTCTAATCTCTCTCTTGCCCTTGCCAAACTCTTACCTGCT